ATGCCTGGAGCAGGCATTAGACAAGCGAGTGCTCTGCATGTATGGAGAGCAGCTGGCTTGTCTGGGAGGACACTGTATGTCATCAAAGTGTGCCTTTGGAGCTGCGCAGAGAAGCTGTAAGGCTGGCATTGCCCTGCTTGGACTGCTTTCCTGTGGGACTGTGCACTGTGTGCTTGTACATGTGCTGCAGCAGGCCTGATGGGCAGTTGCTTTGTTACTTTTGTTTTTTTTTTCAATCCCCCCAGTGGCACACATGCATTTGAGAGCCCAAAGTGGGACCTTCCTGCCTTCTATACCTGTAAAACGTCTGGAAAGCCTCCTGATGGTTAAGGGCGCGTCAGGTTTGCACATGGCACTGAACATCTTGAAGCATAGTTAGGGACCAAGTAATTGAGTTGCTCCTGTTGCTTCAATCGGTGAGCATGACCAGCTGTTGTTGTGCAGCCCCTCCTCCAGTCCTTCTGGGAAATGACACCACGATTATATTTCTGGCTTAAGACATTTTTTCCCCTAATCAGCCTGGGCCTCACAAAGAGGTTGCCACTTAGCAGTAATTACTTGCTTTAGAAGCTGAATGTCTCCTGAGGATTGCAAGTAGGGGATTATCAAATTAATTGGTTAAACCAAGATGTGCTTTTGTGAAGCCAAGGCCTGCTTTAAACCTTTCTTTCAGATCACAAGTAAACATTACTAAACTGCATACAACCTGCTCTTGTCCTCCTCATAGGGAGAGAACTAGTTCTGTACTGAAACATTGTTTGAAGGGCTGCTTGCAGCTACACTTGCTGCAGCACTTGTTTGCTTCAAACAGGTTTTGCCAAAGAAAAGCAAGACCTGTCTCTGGTCTTTAGGTGCCTGCTTGTGCTGAGTGGGGTCTAACGCTGCTTCTTGGTGGCTTCCCATGTTTTTATAAGCTGCCAAGTGGAAAGGGAATGGGGTTCACAGTGGGTAGCTTGGTGGGATTGTAAGGTACAGTTCTTGAATTTACAGTTTCAGGGCACAGCTTAATCAGATGTGACATCTGCGTAACCATGTGTGTGGACACGGGGGCTGGTGGAAAGGATGATGAGGAGGTGCCTTTGAAGTAGATTTAGAGAAATCCACTGATGAGTGGGTGAGCAGAGGCCATAGGTCCTGGACTGCTGCTCTGCCAATGCCTTCTCCGAGGCTCTCCTTCCCCTTAGCAGTCCCTATGGCCATAGGAGTGTCTGTGTGGTGTGCTGAAGACCACACCAGTGATCATGCTAAACTAACATGGAGTGCGTGGGGCTGTTTTCTTAAGAGCTGTTGTCTGCTGTAAGTGCAGTTGTCTAGCTAGCATGTGTATTCCACAACTTCCCCTAGGTCAGAAGATGTCCTTATCTGGCATCTAAAACATCTGTTTTGTCTTGTTTCCAGCACAGCAGAGTCCTATTCATAAAAACATTAAGCTCTCCCTGCTTTGCACAACTGAAGATAAGCAGAACAGATGCACAGGCAGAGGTCCTTTCCCTGCCTCCAGCCTCTGCCTCTGCTCTCTCCCTGCCCTGATGGGGCTCTAGGCTGTGATACTGCTTCAGCAGCTCTGCAAACCAGATGCAACACAGGGGAAAGGGGATGGGGAAGAAAGAGATGAAGGTCTGAAGTTATAACCCACGAAATTTCAGAACAGTTGGTGTTCCAACTTTAATCCCTCAAATCTGGGGAGGTCCCACAGGCTTCAAAGTTTGTCTCCCCATCCATCTTGATGTTGGCCTTTGCTGCCTTTTGCCATATTTTACCTTGGGGACAGGTTGTGCTTAGCAGTATTGAGCTGCTGCTGGAGGCAGGTACCAGAGCAGTACCCTCAGTGCCCATCATTTGCCCATCAGTCCATGCACAGGACCTGGTTCTGCTGTGTGGGTAGCTGCTCTCTGCCTGCAGAGCTGGATGACGACAGCCTTTTGCAATGGCTTCAGCAATTAAACCAAGCCCAAGGAAAGCACTGGCCTTGTGCGAGAGCAAGGAGCTGCCCCTGCGAGGAGACAGTGCGAGACTGTGTTGGGGAACAAGTGCGGCATTGTTGTCAGGCTCAGTCAAGAGGGGCTTTTGAACACCCACTGAAGTGCTGGCTACAGCTGTCTCCCATGTGCTTGTGCAGGAAATGGCTCTACAATGCAGGAGAGGAGGGAAAGGCCACTTTGCAATGGGAAAAAAAGAAAAGCTCTATATGAGAGTAAACAGCAGTGAGATGTTCTCCTAAGCACAGCACCACAGCACAGGAAATCACGTCACTGTCTCTGACTGGCATGGGGGTGAGCCTAGCTTGGGCTGTCCAGGTTGGAGATCCTTGATAGGGAAAGGTGGTCCTGAGCTTCAAGTGCTGTGCAGCAAAGGGAGGAGGATGAGGTTAGGCTCTAAGCTGCTCTTGTGATAGACAGCCTTTTCCCTCTCTGCTTGTATAAATGTAGGTCTACAACCACCAACTTTCCTGCATTGTCCTATGTGGTGTTGGCTTGGGAACTTGTGGAGAGCTTTTAGTTATCATCTGCACAACTGAGCTAGCTGCTGCGCTGCAAAAAAATATGTGCTAATGGTTATATAGTTTGAGTAGGATGCAGATAGTGAGTGTTGGCTGTGTCTCTGGTCACAGAGGTGAAAAATGCGATTGGAACAAGCTATGGGTTCTGTGTGCTTATGTGGTGTCCCTCCCATCTGTTATGGGGATGCTGCAAACTCCTACACCAGCCCCTGAAAGTGCCTCTTTTTCTGGCCATCAAAGAGCTGGAATTAGGCAGCTTGATGGTATTTTAACCTACTAACTCAACTAAAGGAGATGGCAAGCTTGTTCTCCCAGACACCCCTTGAAAGGATGAGGAAAGCCAAAAGTTGTTCTCACCCTGGAGCTGCTGCCAGAGGTCTGGGTGCAGGAGACCTAACTGGTTTGGTAGCAGCATGAGAGCAGATTCTCTGCTCCGTCCCATTCATCCCACAGGCTCTTGGGTTGCCCCAGCCCAACCTGGGTCTTTGATATCCTTTGTGCTGTCTGAGGAGTGCATGTCTCTTATTTAAAAGCTGAGATAGCTTCTGGCCTGTGGGGTCCTTTTCAGCCCCGTTGCGGGCTTTCAAACAGGCTGTTTGGGGCTTTAATCCACTGCTGGAGTGGCCCAGAAGAGCCCAGTATCAGTACCCAGGCTGCTGGTAGCCAAGACTGCTTGAAGGCTTCAGATCTACTCAGAGGCTGGTAACTGCAGAGACATGTTTGCTGGTTAAAGGTCGTCCTTAGGAGACTCCCAGCATCTGCAGGAGGATGTTGCAAAGGTAGAGCCATGTCTGTAGGCTGGGAGGTGTGTTTGGGGAATAGATAACAGCAAAGCTGCTTCTGCAGATGGTGACATCTGTGGTTGGAGGCTGTACTGGGGAAGTATGCCAGGTTCCTCATCCTTCTGCTATGAATATGGGGGACAAAGAAGCTTTCCTGCATTAAGCAACATGACCACAAATTCCTTTAGTTACTGCGATGACAACTAAGTAGTGGCTCTGCTGGGCATTTAACACCCTTTGCATTGGCAAGGCTGCTCTCCTTCACCCAGCTTGGGATTATTTCCCATTTTAAGAAGGACATAGAACTGTTGGAGCAAGTCCAGAGGAGGCCATGGGGATGATCAAGGGCTGGAGCACCTCCTGTGTGAAGATAGGGTGAGAAAGTCGGAGCTGTTCAGCCTGGAGAAGAGAAGGCTGTGTGGAGACCTCATAGCAACCTTCCAGTATGTGGCCTATAAGGATGCTGGGGAGAGATTCTTCATCAGGGACTGTAGTGATAGGACAAGGGGTAACGGGTTAAACTGAAGCAGGGGAAGTTTAGACTGGATATAAGGAAGAAGTTCTTCCCTGTGAGGGTGCTGAGGCCCTGGCACAGGTTGCCCAGAGAAGCTGTGGCTGCCCCGCCCCTGGCGGTGTTCAAGGCCAGGCTGGACGGGGCTTGGAGCAACCTGGTCTAATGGAAGGTGTCCCTGCCCGTGGTAGGGGGTTGGAAGTGGATGATCTTAAGGTCCCTTCCAACCTAAACCAGGCTGTGATTCTATGATTATCAACTGATCTCATCTGCGTAGGCTGGAAGCTCTCCTTGCTGTGGTGCGCTGCAGGGACCATCATCCATTGTTGCTGCCCATAGGAAGCACAACAGCACATCATGCAGCTGGTGTATGGAATGGTTGGATTTGGGACTACTCAAACCCTTGTTCACAGGTTATGTCTGAAAACATGCCATGAGGTCATCATGTACAATGGGTTTTAGGGCCAACTACTGGCAATTGTCCCTGGGAGAGGAGTTTCTGAAGGGGCTCTTTAGCTGGACCAGCTGTCATGGGCTCTTGTGGAACAAGGCTTGGGAAGACTGCGGGGTCTGCCCCTAGAGCCACAGCAGCAGGGGTGTTTGGTAGCTATCATCCCAGCTTCAGCAGGCAAATACCCTGTGCTGCTCTTCTGAGCTTGCCCATGCAGGGGACATCTTCCCTTCTGCTGCAGGTCCTCATGTCCTGCACAAGTCACCTGTCCTTTTGGAATGGTCTTTGTGATGTCTTCCAAAGGAGGGGACAGCCACATCCCAGCACTATGGTTTCCTTAATGGAGGGTCAGCCCTTGTGGAGCATGCATGACCACGTGCTGCTTTGCCAGGCAAGGCTAGGGAGGCAGCTCTTGGTCCTGTGCCGTGCTGCCAGGCCCTGCACCTCTTGCCCAGGGCTCTGAAGCTTCGCCTGTGTGTCACTTCCTGCCCTGCTTCCCGTTAGACAAAGGCTCTGTGTGTCAGCAGGTCCTGGGATGCCCTGCAGCACCTGCCTCTCCCCTCCATCTGTGGCTCTGCCCTTTCCCGCTGTCACTTCTGGAGGCTGCTGCCTGCCTGTTCGTGACCTTCCCCACTGCTCGGGCAGTGTTTTGGCCTCTGGCCATCTTAAACAATTAATGGAGGGGTGGAGAAACTTGCCATGTTAAATTACTTCCTCCTTTGGGAGGGGGTGAGGTCTCCATCTCCCGCCTGATACTAGTGTAGTTTGTCGCTGTTGCCTGAAGCGGTCACTGCCTCTCTGTTTTCCTTCTAGATGTTAGCAACACAAAATTTCAGAGCACTCTTTGTATTTCTCAGCACTTTGCTTAACCTGCAGCTCTGCCCGAGGATCTCACAGAGTGGAGAAGCCTCTGGACTTAGAGAAAAGCGAGCCAAGAGGAGGCAGGGGAGAGGATTTTGCTGGAAACCTCTTTGGGAAGCTTGAGACCTCGGGATGCCTGCCATGGGCTTATTCTCCTCCAGCAGCTATTCAGCCTTTCCCGGGCAAAGGCAGCTCCCTGCCACAAAGCATCTGCATTAAGCAGGTCTGTGGAGAGGCTGAGGCGTGCTCTTGAGGGACACAGCAGATAGCAGCAGTGCTGCAACCAGCAGCCGGTGAGTGCTGCTGTCTCTGCCCATGTCTCCGAGGTCCCCACAAGGCTGGGGGAGGCAGCAACCTGCACTCGCTATGCCCCTCTGGAGTTGGCTGTCAGAGAAACCTTGGAGGTCCCCTGCTCAGCCCCGGTAGTGTCATGAGTTAGATTAGTTGGAGCTGTGCTGGGGGCGGTGAGGGCTTGGATTACAGTCCAGAACTCGAAGTGCTCCGGTGGTTCACGTCCTCGGCGGGGAGAGGAGACGCTGCGTTGCACACATGGAGGAAAAGGAGAAGAAATGCTGCCTTTGGAAGTGAGGGGGAATAAAGGAGGCTGGGAACATGGTAAGGAAATCTCTGCGGAGGGCTCTTCACCACGGGCACGGGATGGAGCTGCTGTGGGGCAGCCTTCCTGGAGCCAGCTCACGGCTCATGCTGGGAGTGGGAAACAGCTCTTCTGGGACTTCCCGTTACTCTACTAGCACATTGTGCCCTGGGTCCAGACGCTGACGGTGGCTGCAGGGACACGGGGCTCTCATTGGCACTGCGGGGTAGTACCTATAGGGGTGCAGCCCTGGAGTGAGGAGCTGGGATGGGGCAGGTCGGCAAGGCCCTGTCTGTTGGGCTGCCTAGATGCTGGGCTCTCCTCCTGCCCTTGCCCTGGGGCTGTGGGCACTGCCTCTTTGCAGAGCCCAAGGAAGGGGAGAGCATCGGCTTTTCTTCTGCCTAGGGAGGCATTCAGGGGCTCACGGAAACCCCTGGAGCCGGGCATAGATCCTGCCCTTTCCGAGTGGAATTCTGCATGTGGGGATCCTTGTCTGAGAAGGAGAGAGGCTGTTGAGCCCAGATGGGAGCAGAGAGCCCTGTTTCCCCTGCAGGGGCTGCAGGGTCTGCAGGCATTGCCTGCAAACAAGGTGTCCTGCCTGGGTTTGGCAGAGGCTGGAGGGAGCTGTGGTGAGATGCCACTGAGCAGCAATCTGGCTTCTGATAGTCTGTTCCTTGGGCTCAGGCTAGGATCCATGTGCCCAGCAGCCCTAAATATCCTGGATGTGTCCTGCTGTGTCATGGCCTGCTTCTCCACAGCAGAGGGAGCAAAGTACATGAGGGGGACAAACAGCTTGTATGGCTGCTGTGGCTAGCAGTGACTTGCTCCTTTTTAAGACTCCAGCTTCTGAGCCTGGAGAAGGTTGGCTTTCACTGGAGGATGAGTTGCCCAACTTCTGGATTTTGCAGCCTGAGCTTAAATTCAGACCGATGTCATTCCCCTTTGCCACTCTCCAGCTCCTCTGCAGAGGACCCTGTCGCTCTCTGTACCCTCACATGCCCATGTCAGCTCTGTGGTGTGCTCTCCTCTCCCATCCTGCTGTGAAGGCCTGGAGGCATCTTGCTTCTCCCACTCTTCCACTCCAGTAAGGAGAACCCTTTTCCTTACCCCATGCCTAGTGTGTCCCTGGCACGCTTTGGTCTGTTCTGCTTGTGCTATGAAGCTGCAATCAAAGAAGAGCACTGTTTGGGTCTGAGCAGAGTGGGTGCAGTCCTAAAGGATGCGTTCTGCCATCCCTTGCAGTTCTAAGGAATGCACTCTGCTGTAGGGACTGGAGTTCTGCTCCAGCAAGAGACCAGATCCTGCAGTTTGGAGGTGACTTTCTGATTCCCAGACTCTCCAGTTTAGGCTCTCCTTCACCTTGTTTTAATGTGTGATGCAAAAGATGTCTGAAGCGGGGGCCTCTGTGTAAGCAGTGCTACAGCCAGTCCAGGTCCATGGTGGGTTGCGGGTGTGTGGGAACCATGCCTTGCTGCTGAGGAGGGATTGTGCTTCTTGGGTGCTGAGTTCAGGCTTGGCCGCTGCAAGGAGCGGGAACCAGAAACCAAACTGCCAAAGATACAGCAATGGGCACTGGCCACACGATGGAAATCTCGTCCATGGCAAGGGTATGCTCTCAACACTGTGCTAGACCAGTCTGCATTTCAGGAGGTGTATCTCTGAGCAGCTCAGCTGTGACTGTAGCTCTAAGCTGTTCTGTTTGTCTTGGGTTTTTGGTGTCCTGGTGAATCCAACATACCCTGCAAGCATAAGATTTGGGCTCTAAGTGAATGTGGGTCAGTGTGTTGCCTGTGTCAGACATCCCTATGGCCTCTGGCAGCCTGCAGGACTCTCAGAAGCTTGGCTCCTGGTGGAAGTCTGGCACTGTGCAACTGCTGGCCGCCATGTCCTGTGTGAGGCAGGTGATTCCTCTTCACAGGGCCAGTTGTGTTTCAGTGTAAGGAATGATGTGTGTGTGTAGGGTTGCTGCAGCTGGAAGATGCTTCAAGCACCACATGGACAGGGATAGAGCAGTTGACATCATCTGCCTGGACTTCTGCAAAGCGTTCGACACTGTCCCACACGACATCCTTGTCTCTAAATTGGAGAGACATCAATTTGATGGATGGACCGCTCTGTGCATAAAGAGCTGGCTGGATGGCCGCACGCAAGGAGTTGTGGTCAATAGCTTAATGTCTGCCTGGAGACCAGTAATGAATGGTGTCTCTCAGGGATCATTGTTGGGACTGGTCTTGTTCAACATCTTCATTGGTGACATGGACAGTGGGATTGAGCGGGCCTCAGCAAGTTTGCTGATGACACCCAGATGTGTGGTTCAGTTGATAACACTGGAGGGAAGGAATGCCATCCAGAGGGACCCTGACACACTTGTGAGGTGGGCTGATGCCAACCTTATGAAGCTTAACCATGCCAAGTGCAAGGTCCTACACCTGGGTCAGAGCAATCCCAGGCACAGCTACAGGTTGGGTGGAGAAGAGGTTCAGAGCAGCCCTGTGGAGAAGGACTTGGGGGTGTTGGTCGATGAGAAAATGAACATGAGCCAGCTTCAGTGTGCGCTCGCAGCCCAGAAAGCCAACTGCATCCTGGGCTGCATCAAAAGGAGCGTGACAGCAGGTCGAAGGAGGTGATCCTGCCCCTCTGCTCTTGTGAGACCTCACTTGGAGCATTGTGCACAGTTCTGGTGTCCTCAACATAAAAAGGACATGGAATGGTTGGAGCAAGTCCAGAGGAGGGCCAAGAGGATGATCAGGGGACTGGAGCACCTCCCATATGAAGACAGGCTGAGAAAGCTGGGGATTGTTTAGCCTGAGAAGAGAAGGCTGCGTGGAGACCTCATAGCAGCCTTCCAGCATCTGAAGGGGGCCTATAGGGATGCTGGAGAGGGACTCTTCGTTAGGGACTGTAATGACAGGACAAGGGGCAATGGGTTAAAACTTAAACGGGAAGTTTAGGTTGGATATAAGAAGGAAATTCTTTCATGTTAGGGTGGTGAGGCACTGGAATAGGTTGCCCAGGGAAGTTGTGAATGCTCCATCCCTGGTGTTGTTCAAGGCCAGGTTGGACAGAGCCTTGGGTGAGATGGCTTAGTGTGAAGTGTCCCTGCCCATGGCAGGGGGTTGGAACTAGATGATCTTAAGGTCCTTTCCGACCCTAAATATTCTATGATTCTATGATTAAGATACCTTAAGCCAAAGTATCCCACTTCCACTAGAACTGACCTTTGCAACTGTGAAAACCGCTTGGTGTGAGCAAGGCAGGGGCTTGGCTGGGCTCTACCCTGCTTGTCTACCCATTGCTTTGCTGGCTGGGGATCTGCCCTGATGCCCTGGTGGATATTTCTCCTCACTGGAGAGGGGTTTACCTGCTGCCAGATGGGGCACAGGAGATGGTCGGGACATACAGCCAGACCGCCCCACCTGAGAAGCATTTCTGAGTACTCTTGGGTGGGTTGGCTGGAGGCAAAGAGGGGGTTGTGAGGGACACCTTCCTTTCCAGAAAGCTGCTATGGTTGGGCAGTGAGCCCAGGAGTGCTTTTCTGCCCTTGCTAGAGGGACTGCTGCTGCTCTTTAATGGTAGCTGGGGGACTGTGGACCCAGCATGTGAATCTGGTGAGGCTCTCGCAACTGTGCACTTTGGACTTGCCTGGGCTGCTGCTCTCACATGGTGGCATGCTCCAAGGCTCCAGTTATCACATAGATGTGTAGAGCACAGCCCATGGGTATCTTAAGATGTGGAAATGGTGGTGTCTTCCTGCATGGAAGTTCGGGTGGCATCTCTGTGCTGGTGGGAGGGAGGTTTCAGCAGAGAGCATAGTCTTTCTTTTATCCTCTGGTTATGTCTTCTCCTAGGGTGGGAAGGAAATGAGTTTGGGAATCACAAAGAGCTTTATGCATTGGGGATCTTCTATGTTTATTTCTGTGCCAAAGCCATGAGCTGTTCTAACACAGACGAAGCCCAGAGATGTAATCCTGAGCACATGGAAGTTGTTTGAAAGCTTCTCTGGGGTAACAAGGATGACAATTTGTGCATTTTACCCAGCTTCTTTGCAAAAACACTAGGCAGGTGAACACGCTGTTCATTGCAGCAATAAAATAATGGCTAAATGTAGGTGCCAGGCTAACTGCGTCCATGTGTCTCCTTCCAGTAACCACCAAATGGGTTCTAGTACCAGGTGGGAATGCAAGACAAGGCATGTTTATAGTGAGATACTGCAGGTGTCCAAGGAGGACTGTATGCTGAGTGAGTGAGACTCAGCATCCTGTACCAGAACCACCTCTGGTCATGTTGCTGGCCATATCACAGTCAGCCCTGAGGACATACCTTGCCAGCAGAAGATATCATAACACGAGAGCTTTGCAAGCATCCTGCTGCCAGTTGCTTCTGAAAAGAGAGCCAGCATGTCTGCTGCTAAATCCCAGAGCACATCACAGCCACTTGGCTCTTAGAGCCTAATGTTCTAGCTTCACCTCAAATGTGACCCTGTCTGTGACTGATCTGTGCAAAACCAAACCATCTTCTGGAAAAGATAAGGCTTAGGGGGTCCTTATCGCTCTCTATAACTGCCTGAAAGGAGGATGGAGCCAGGAGGTGGCTGGTCTCTGCTCCTAAGGAACAAGGGATAGGACAAGAGAAAATGGCCTCAATCTGTGCAGCAGAAGGTTTGGACTGGAGATTAGGAACAGTTTCTTCCCCTGAGGGTGGTCAGCATTGGAACAGGCTGCCCAGGGCAGTGGTGGAGTCACCATCCCTGGAAGTGTTCACAAACCATGTAGATGAGGCCCTCAGTGACCTGGTTCAGTGGTGGCCTTGGCAGTGCTGGGGAATGGTTGGCCCTGATGATCTTGAAGGTGTTTTTCAACCTGGTTGATCCTATTATTCTACAGGCTATGGGCACAGCCTCAAGCTGAGCATTGGTCCTGAGTGTGGGTGGGAATGACAGATGCAGGGGGCTACAGGCCCCTTTAGTACCAAAGTGCTAGAAAATTTCTTACAGCAGTCAAGGGGTGTTCTGCGTAAGCTA